ATACCATTCAGTTTAAAAGAAAATCTTCTGTTTTTCTGTATATATCCTTGACAATGATTTTTTAATAAATCGAAACGTTGGAAATTCAAAATGATTAAAACCGCTGCTTTGGTTATACTTTTCTTAACGAACAGTTCTGACCGATATATTTCTTTATACTATTTTGTGGACAAAGCAGAAAAAATAAAGAAAAATGAATAAGTAGTAACTAATTACTATGTGTTCATAAATACATGTATATGCCTAATTACTCCTTGAATGCATAGCTGAATTTTCTTTCAAACCGTTCTTAAAACTATAGGTGTTATTAGGGGAAAGTAAAAGTCAGTTTGGTTTCTGCTATTGAAATTTCAAAAAAAAAATTTGCTTTCTTTCGTGTAAATTTCAAAAAAAAAGCAATTTTTTTTAAAATTCTTTTTGCTGAAAAAGAGATCTGAAGAGAAGGAAAACCCTAAAATAGTTTTATAAAGATAAATCGGGAAAAGGCAGCCCAGCAAGAAAGGTCGTTACATGAAACTTTTTAACATGCATTTTTTATTGTATTTTCGAATTCGACAATCAAAACCGGAGTTATGAAAAAATTGTTAGCATGCTTGATCTGAGTTTGTCAGAGGTATAGAATTTTCAAAAAGAGGACCATCGAAGATTTTTGAAAAACTGACCTGCTCGTTGTTTTGATGATATTTTCGCGAAATTTTATGTATTCTGTTTGAGCAATGTTTCATTCGAATGCCCATCAAAAACTAAACAAAAGCAGCTACTTATAAAATTTTTAAAGCAAAAACTGAACTTTTGGGAAGATGAGCAAGTCAAAACATGACAGTCTTCATTTGAGTAATTTTTCGAATAATTCGACGTTTACTCAGACTAATTAGAACTAGACTAATTAGAAACATAGCGCTAGTGAGGCTAACCGAGTAGCCCATTAGGTATTTCTGTCAAGATTGCTGACTCATCCATCGGTGTAGAGTTACAATAAAAAATAATCGTCGTTAATATTTTCTTCAAGTTTTCCATCGCGAAATGAGAACGTAAGTTCGTCACCTTTAATCACCTTTTCTTTTTGTTGAATATTGTGGATTAATAATGGTACCATTTCTTCTTTTGATAATATACGATATAACGACTGGTAAAGTGGAAGATAACAGGCATAATCTTGTTTCATTTTTTCTTTTATTGGTGCCGACGATTGTACCGGTGTAAGGAGAATTTGTTTCGGTGATCAATAATTACAAAATTTTACACATAATTTGTTAAAGTGATAAGATGCACGTAATACAAACTTCAAATGGAATTTTTTTTTGGCATAGGTAAACAGTCTTCCGCCATGGACGTTCGAACCAACGGCTGTCAACTGGGTCTGCCTCATTTTGTAAATCTATCTAGTTTTTTGGGTGAAGGGCTCTATCGATGATTCACACAACATCAGATTGGCCAATACGTCAGTTTTAAACGTACGTAAAGCTTTTTTCAAAATTCGTTTTCCTTGATTTTCCGCGGTTCGGGTGTTGTGTCGGATTTCTAGCGAGCCCCAGGACTGGCACCCGGTGGCTATTGGTAGCCTTGAAAATAGATGGACTATAGATAATCGATCATGCCTATAGTCTGATTTATTTTGTAACAAATTTGAACGTTGTCTATACACACGAGATTTAAAGACATTCTAAGATAAGTAAGTTTTCCCGCACTTTGATGATAAAGCGCAACGTAATTTAAAATCTGGTTCGCAATAATGATATGCATATAAATGACTGAAAAGATTATGCAAATTCGAAAACCGTTTTGTGTTAAGACAAGTACACAATGGAAATATTCTGTTTTGTCATAACAGCTCACTACTTTCAAAATTTTTAATAGTTTCTTCGTCGAACATGAATTCTTTTAACCATTTTAACGTTTCATTATCGCTCCATGAGAACGGATTCATTACTCTTATCTAGACCGAAACCATTTTAAAAGCAACAACTTCAGTTTGCGAAATGGCAAATTCGCAAAAAGCAGAAACAACAACGTATATGAATGAATTGGTATCTACACTACGTCACCTGCTGAAGTATCTATAGAACTATAAATACTATCCGATAGCGCATCTTAATCTAAATCTTAATCTGCTCCATGTGATCCTTTACTTAAGAATAGTACAAAATAGCCTTGCACTTCGGAAGATTTCTAGAAAACTTTGTTTAAACCCAAGGTATTTTCTGTTGGTTTGTATAGCTTTTATTAAACTCCCCCGCATTGAGCAGGTAAAACAGAGTACATCTTGATAGCCTGACATAATTTGGATGGGTTTTGACTGAGTTATGAAGCTTTTAATTTTACTCAGAAATAGGCAAAAATGGATTATTTCACCTAACACAGGTTTTCAATAGGTTTTCGAAACTTATTTGAAAAGTAAATGTTGCCACGAGATTCAGCGTGGTTGATTACCAATGTTTCCATTTGTTTTTGGAATTAATACACCTAAAGAAATATTGATCCTGGAACTCTCAGGAACTGCGACGCTACACCTGAAGCAAGAAAAATTAAGAGTTTGCTAGTTCCTATTTTGGAGAGAACACTTTCGACTATATATCTATGTAAAAAAACTAAAGATTTCCTAGAAAACCGACCTTTAGAATATTTTTCGAAAAGGGTTTTCCAATTGAAACCATAGGCGAAACTGTTTTCTTTCGATTGTTGAAAATCTCAGATCTCCATCTTTGTTAGTTATTCAAAAAGTCCTAATTAGCGTGTCTCGTGTAGAAAGAGTTAGCGTTTTTCTGAAAATCGATTTTTGTGCTAGTGGTCAAACGCCGAGCAAATTTTTTTAAAATACAGTTCATTATAAAGAGGTGCGTTTTTTTTTATTTATTGGGGCACTCAATACTCCTTCGGATGAAGAGAAGGAATTTTTTGATTAGGCTCTAGTTCTGTAGAAAACCGCGTCTGACTGGAACACCTCTGATGGCACTTCAAGGTTTTAGAGCTTTTGACGTTCCCGAAAAGTAAAGAAAGCAAGAATAAAAAATCCCTTCCTTTCATTGGGAGGGATAAACAGTTCTCCTTGTAATAAAACAACTCCAGGTTCCGTACCTGGAAGTACATCGAAAAAGAATTCGTACGGGCAGAGGGCCCATTTTGAGCCTTGGTCTCTAGAAAACTCTGAAACGCTGACTTATGGCGGCGAATGACAAATTTCACAACTTTACTTTATGTGCCCAACATTTGTGGAATGCACTGTATCGAAAATCGATTTTGGGGGGATGGCCTTAAAGTTGATACGATCGCACACCGCTGAATATACAATCGCCACAAATTTATTAGGGATAGTCTAAAATAGCTCTTGTAGTGCAATCGCCAGTCAGTATACTTCTTTGAGCAGATGTAAGGTGCTTATATGAAGTCCATGATAATAAAAAAGTAATAAAAATAAGTTTATTTTCAATGACGAAGTAAATACAACAAATACCTAAAAAGTATGCTTTTTGTTCACCATCGGTAATCTGGAAGAGCGTCTTTGGAATGAGCTATACATTCCTTTTCAAAATCGTCTGGTATCAAATGTAGAATGTCTGTCTTCCATTTATCGAAAGGCACTAGATCAATTTGTTTATTATTAAATATAACTCGAATCCAGTATTTGTCCTGATTATTATGTTTATCTTGACACAGTTCAATGATCATATTTGATGCGAATGTTGGCCATACTCCTTCTAATATGTGGCCATGACCTAGTACTTCCATCAATGGAATAATCGTACTGTCATGTGCAGCATAAATTGATGCAACTTTTACATTTTCGCTGTTTACTTTACCTTGAATATTATTTAATATTTCAAATAAAAATCTTCCCATACTAAGTCGAGCTAATTCTAACTTCTCTGTTTTCTGTTCATGACTGCTAAAGCCACCTGTGAGTCCATGATAAAATGTCCATTCAGCCAATTTATTAGCTTGTTCGGCCATTTCTTGTGTTATACCTCTAGGTAGTTCGATGTTATATGCTTGTCGACATCTTAGTTCATCTGCTATATCTAACCATGACACTATGACAGTATTATATTCACTTTCAAATTGTTGTTTTAATGAAATTACTTCTTTAGAGTTAACCTTGGTTAAATAAGCTTCTGTTTGGAAGGCTTGTATAAATAGTTCCCTTAGTCTAGCACAATGTTTTTCATTTGGATATAATGTTTCTTTCGATTTATCTAGTACAACGGCATGTTTGGCTATAGTATCAGTACTAATAGTTGGATATAAACCTTGTACTAATCTACATAATGACAGTTGTGTGCGGGGAACATCTGTACTGCGAATTAGCAACTTTTCACTATCGAATGTGCTTGGTAATAATTTGTCTTGTTCTATATACTGATTATGTAAATTTTGACCGATAATAAATAACTGATGTTCGCCTAATGGTGTTAACTGGCTTCTATTACAAAGTATTTTGTCACCATTTGTCGTGTGACAATATCCCCATATAGAATGAAATTCTTCAATCGACTGCCCTGGTAGTTTTGGTAGAGGAGTTCGATGACCATGTCGAGTTAAAACCGTTACATATAATGGAGATAAGTTAGGTGGACGAGGTGGAATTGGAATAGATAAATCAAGATTATGATTGGATGGATAGCGTTTAGATGGTGACAACGTGAATGAAGACTGATCATTTTGTTCTGTTTGAGTCAATGAATGACCAACAGATATACTGACTGCTGCAGTTGTCAGGGCAGAGACCCACTTAAATGCTTTCATTCGAGATCTAAACATTATTTATTGTTAATAAATTGTTTGATTGTACAATCTGAAACAAAAGCAGATTTTAAGGTACCACAAAAAAACAGGTCTAGGAGACGATCCGTAGGAATATCCCGTGAATCGATAGCACTAATCAATCTTTTTTCTCTAATTACAGTCAGTCTATCCTATATTCTACGTTCAACGCAAGATAGATGTCACAGTTTTAGACCTTAGAAGTGCCTTATTATGAAGAGCGAATTTGGAAAAACTTTTTAGAAGGGTTCATCACAACATCAAGCGTTCTGTATTTCAATTTTCACGATTTTAGTATTCTCTTATAAAATTTTGTAATTACACCAATTGAAAGGTCAGTGAAATCTCAGCAAAACCGACCTTTTGCAACTCATAAAAAAACGTTTACCACCAAAATATAGAAATCACAAATAAAAAAATTGCGGGTTTTTCATTCATAAAATATCAGAATAGCAGAAGCTTATTATATATTGCTTGTAGGGCAAGAATTATCCAGAAAGCGAGCTGGTGTTATAGGGGTCGAACTCTAGAGTATGTGTTCAAACGCATGCGTATGGGTTTGGACACATAATTCGTCATTGAATTAATGATAATTCAAATTTTTACACAAAAAGAGTGACATATAAAGTCTGATTTTGTAAGCTGGAGCTTTTCTAAAATTTAGTAACTCAACAATTTGACTGTCTATGCAGTTTTGACCGCTGAATACAACAAGTATAGTTTAAAAGAATTTTTAATCAGCGTTATCGAATTCTTTCGGGTATATTCGCTGTCATCGCATCACATATGTATATATATATCATGTTATTGATTATACATATCACATTCGGTTTTTGTGAATGTGTTATTTTTAAGGCAAGAAAATTATTGTATAACAGTTATAGAAAACCATCTTCGCGTTTCTACATAGATGTTTTGAATGTTCATAGATTCCCTCAGAAGCGTTTTTTTCTCTTCGTTCATCTCGAGCACGGTCTGACATTTTCGGTCCCGACTAGGCATGCACCAATACAATATATTAGGTCCCAATGTTATTGTATACCCAATATATTGGAACCAATGATATTGGTCACCCAATATATTGGGTCGCATGGGTTCAGCCTACTTCTACAGTACAGACGCATGCTCCATATCCCGTTTTTAACCAAAATATAACCCAGTTAGGCTTGCGCCGATTAATAATCGATGTTAGGACACTCAGCAAAGTCGTTCCAAATCAGGTGTGAAAAAGTACCTGGAGCTGCTGAACGTCTCAGTTTGTAGAAAAATGGTTGCTCTACCAAACTAAAGTGCTAGAACAATATTAATATTATATATAGAGAAAATATGATAAATCGAAAACGCACTAAAATCGTAGGAAAATAATCGATAGTCGCTTATGTTTTCGCAATTTTGCTCAGTTTTGGATGCTTATATTTTTGTTACAGTACAATAATGACAATAAATGTCATTGTGCAATATTATTGGTCCCAGTATATTGGGTATACAATAATATTGAGATCCGATATTATTGAATACCCAGTAATATTGTACAGTATATATTCAGTAATGATTGGTATTGGTGCATGCGTAATCCCGACAACGTACTTCCAAACTCGGTTCGGAAAAGAGATCAGATTAAGCCCGCAGGATTCTACTTCATTCATTTTTCTGTACACTGTGATTTACACTTTCACTCACAAGTTATGTTGGAAATCAATCACAAGATTATTTTATAAAATCGTATAAGCAAAGTTCTTTCCCCAGTCAAGAGACAGATATCGCTAGAAATCAGTCAACTTTTGATAATAGAAAAAATCGTCTGCAGATAATGAAACTTACAGAAAATACATAATCTATCATGAGAAATCAATCAGCAATGTTTTACGATCCCTTGGTGTTTTCAGAGAACGTCCATACAGTGTTTTAGATTTATAGTATATTGACCACTTTTTACCTGGAATTGGAGAAGTTCGCAGCATTCGGGTACTTCCATTTTCAGCGTTACATGACATAATAACCGAAAAAATGTCAGGACTCTTCTCCTGTAAAGTATAAAAATTTACATAGAATCCCATATTTATTCCCTAAAAAAGTTAACTTATCATTAACTTGATTGAGTCAAAATTGCTTAAAAAAGAATTGTAGGAAACATTTTGTGCAACCGATTTTTCCGACGAATTATATTATACTACTTTGCGAAAAATGTTCCCTATAATTCTTTTTTAAGCAACTTTGACTAAACACGACTAAACGTCAGCGGCGTATCCAGGGGTGGGGGCAAATGGGCAATTGCCCATTTCATTTGGAGATTTGCCCATTGTAATTTTTATTAGTAAGTTTTTGCCCATTGAAATTTTACTTAGCAGATATACCCATGCGGTTTTTTTTTGTATAACCCTTAGAAAGATATATGTAAGAGTGCCTATAGACAGAATTGTTTGTTTATTTTTGAATTAGAATCTAATTCAAAAAAAAAGAATCTCATTTCATTTTTTTGTGTTCTTTTTGGACCAAAAATCTTTTGGCCCATCGACAAAAACCTTGCCCATTTTGCCCATCGTTTTTTTCCGATACAGTAGAAGTTTGCCCATTGGACTAAAAATCCTGGTTACGCCGCTGCTAAACGTTAACGATAAGTTAAATATAGCATTAGAATCTCTTCTCGCTCAATAGAAATCGAAATCGGAGTAAAACTCCCACCAAAGTACTGAAAGCAATAATCGATATTTTTGACTATGCGATCAAAAAAGAGGATGAAAGCGAAGCGGACCAAAAATATCTTTCAAGCCGTTTGGTACAGCTCAACGAATATCACAAATGGGAGAAAAACAAAAAAAGTCTGTCGTATAGCTTTTGTGCTGTGGGGCCTGAAAGTTGACTGCTTTCAAAAAAGGGTCTTCAGAGATGGGCTGCATACTCAAAGAGGAAGATATATATCGACCTTATTCTCTCTTTATTGAATTAATCAGCTCTTTAGCTTCATTTTTATCTATAGTGCAAGAACCTTTTGTTTTGTTTTCTCTTCAGAAAAGGTGAAATACTGAATGTCATTTTGTCATTTTCGGCCATTTTGTAACAGTTGGCCTGCCATTGTAAAAGTACTAGGTCAACTTTAACATTAGCATTTGTACTACTCGAGGTGCTCTTTTGTATGGTATGTCCAACGGTAGTGCAAGCTCTGTAGAGGCAGAGAAAAACAAGATCAAAGTTGCTTTATTAGAGGGAAGATCGAAACTTGACATCCCTGAAAAGGCATGTAGAATATGACTTTTTAACTGAACAAATATGGCAGTCTATGTAACTTTTTATGCTCTACACGAGTCCGCTATTATGTCATGTAATGGTGGGTGGACCTAAATAGACGTACCCATTTCTCAAGTATACTGGTTGCTAAAGGGAGGTGTGAGCTTTGTTTTAGATTCAGAAATATTTTCAGACTACTGCAGGTCGCTGGAGAGTCTCGAAAAAGTTTTATATATTTATATTAGATTACGAACCTTAGACATGAGAACAGAGATAAATCCACAAGATATCTTAGTTAGGCCACCAGCGAACGCCAACCGAAGGGAGGCGTGAGCATTGTCTTCGATTTAAAAGTCACCAAAGAGCCGTCACATGCGCAGGTCCAAGTTTCTAAAGTGAAGGGACCGAGTGATTGGAGATGAGAGTTACCTTGTTAAATAATTTTTTGTTGAGAGAAAACTGAGTGCTGTTCGCTACGATCCAATCTCCAGCTAACTATAACAACCGAATCTACTTTTTTTCAAAAAGGTTGAGGTGTATGTAACCATAGAAAAAACAACCCAAAACGAAAAGAGTAATGTAACAAAAAATTAAAGTAAAAGAGTAAAGGTAAAATAACGACATTACAAAAGACAACGTAAATCATGTGGTGAGTCATATAAAAGACAATATTTGTTTGTCTGTCTTCCTGTCTCTGTAACCTGATTAGTCGCGCGACTAGCTAATAGAAAAATAAAAATAATGATGTCACTAGCGTACGACATGGCTTAAATTGCACCTAAAAATAATTAGAATTTTGACTTATGTTTTAAGTACACTTGTATCTTATGAAAAACTCCGTTTACAAGGACTCTACAAAAGAAGCGCTTGACAAAGACTTGTGAAGCACTGATGACTACTGTACTGAATACTACTATCCGCCCAAAATACTAGTCAGCCGGTTGCTTTTTGAGTAACTTTTGATAGAAGATAGATAGAGACCTGCGATTTTCACTGTTCGATAGCCAAGACCTGTACGCATGTTTCCATAAGCAAAACAATTCTGTTTTGATTCTTGAAAAAGATTCAAAGATCGGATTTTGAGAAGATCTTTGGAAAACCAGTTTGGATCTCTGAGAACTGACACAGGTTGATGTTTCTTCAGAGACGCATAGTCCTAAGCGTTCTCCGCAAAATGGGAACTAAGCAAACCTTTAATGTTTTTCGGTTCAGGCGTGACATCGGATTTTCTGAAAGTCATAGAATCAGTATTTCTTTAGGTGTGGCAATTTCGAAAATGAATGGAAACATAACCTACTGCGCAAAACTTTTGGCACAAAATGTTCGTTCATTTTCAGAATACTTATTAGCAACTGTTGAGAGTCAAAATTAGTCAATTAGGATCAGACTTGTGTGCTCTTTCCGAATATCCGTTCGGATTTTCTTTCTAGTTTAATTTTGGTTAACTGTGAGCAAATGTTTGAAAGAGCCAAACATGAAGTCTGTGCAGAATATTTTTATTTTTTTAGACTTTTATTACTGAGGATCCGTAGATTTTATACTAACGACATAGTACATTATTCTATATTTTATTCTTTTTTCTTACTATTCTCTTTCTACGTTTATCATACTATAAAATGTGTGCACCAGTATGTCACTCTTCTAGACACAATTATATGACGTATTTTATTGGGTATCATTAACATTTGATGTAGTTTTCACTAGGTTTTTGCCAGTGTTTTGAGAAACAAAGATTGCTACGAGATTCAGCGTGGTCGATTATCTAACCTACTGCGCAAAAGTCTTAGCACAAAATGGTCGTTCATTTTCAGAACACTTATTAGTAATTGTTGAGAGTCAAAAGTCATCAGTTAGAATCAGACTTTTATGCTCTTTCCGAATATATGTTAAGATTTTTTTTCTAGTTTAATTTTGGTTAACTGGGAGCAAATGTTTGAAAGAGTCAAACATGAAGTTTGTACAGAATATTTTTAGTCTATTTTTGTATTTTCATTCAAACTTACTTAACTCAAAACATGGAAGACCCTTTAATAAAGCAGTTTTGTAGCTTTCTCTATTTTTTTGTCTCTCTGGCAAAAAGTGTTTCAAATTTCTTGGTTCTAAAAGGCAGATTTTGGCAATATTTGATTTTCAAAACGCTTGCAAAAACCTAGTGAAAACCTATATTAGGTGAAATACCCCATTTTTGCCTATTTTTGAGTAAAACTAAAAGATTCATAACCCAGCCAAGATCCATCCAAACTACGTGAGAATATTAAGATGTACTCTGTTTTACCTGCTCTATATGTTTTTTTTTACTTGAGAATAGTAAAAAGCATTGCTGTACTTCCGAAGTTTTCTAGAGAATCGTTTTAAAAATCAAAGTAGTTTTTCTTGGCTTTTACAGTTGTTATTGAGCTGCATCATACAGAGCAGGTAAAATAGAGTACTTCTTAATATTCTGACGTAATTTGGATAGATCATGGCTGGGTTACGAATTTATTAATTTTACTCTAATATAAGGAAAACTGGGTCATTTCACCTAATACAGCTTTTCACTAGGTTTTTGCAAGTGTTTTGAGAAACAAAGATTGCTACGAGATTCAGCGTAGTCGATTATCTAACCTACTGCGCAAAAGTCTTAGCACAAAATGGTCGTTCATTTTCAGAACACTTATTAGTAATTGTTGAGAGTCAAAAGTCATCAGTTAGAATCAGACTTTTATGCTCTTTCCGAATATATGTTAAGATTTTTTTTCTAGTTTAATTTTGTTAACTGGGAGCATATGTTTGAAAGAGCCTGTGTAGTTTGTGTAGGTTGTATTTCGAGGCAGTTTGAAATTTGAGCCAGTATTATTGGAGACCATTTAATTCTCTTCAAAATGAGACAGGGGCTTACTCAAGAGAATCAAAAGTTATAAAGTATTTCTGAGAGCTAAAAAACTCTCTAAACAAAAATGGTTCCGTACAATACCTTAAAAGTTTCGTGGGTCATTTCTGAATTTTTAATGGTTTCGTGTTTTTATACTGAATCGCTAGGAGTTTTGTACATCAAAAGGTTTTGTGCTCAATGTACGAAACTAGGCAAAGTTTCATATTTGATTTGGAAAATGCAGAAAGGTTCACCCGTATATGAATACAAAAGCTCTTTGTATACGTACAAAACCTGTTTAGACTTTGTGTAACAACATTCATTTTATTTTCCGCTAACAATAGCAACAAAAGAATTGATAGGACGTTGTTCTGTTTTTACTTTTTTGAGTGTTTTATTTTATGTGCTCTTTGAAAGTCTCGCACTTAGCCCTTATCTTTAATTTTTTTGCATGTACTGCAATGGTTACTTCGTTTTTCTAATTAAACGGCTTTCTCTCTCAACTTTTGTGGCTTTTTCTGGTGATTTCAAGCTCAATTATATTTTTTTGAGCCTATATTCGCAGGAAGATAATGGTTAAACACGTCGATCAGAACGTTTTGTCTCTGTTTTTCGTCATCGCGTTACGCGGCCAACTTTTGCTATCATTTTCAGACGACTTAGTCAAATGAGTTAAAACTTTCAGAGATCGACGGAAACGCAGACACGCATTTTCCAACGCAAGAATCAACTTTCAAGCTGGTTTAATTACTGAGGAAAGTCAAAATTCAGTGATCAAAACGTCATCGGATTACGGTCGAACAAGCTGTAGTGACTCTTTAGATAGAAAAATCAGTAAGAGCAACGAATGATGGTACTGCGTTCTGTGAGAGTACCAATATATTGCCAGTGAAACTACAGGCATGAGAAATAGCATAAAAATATTGTTGTTCAAAGACTTTTCTTGATCAAAACCTGTTTTTCTGCGCTATTCTGAGTTAATTCTCGGTAAGATAAACATTTTATGTAACCTATGTCCTATTCTTTGCTCTAACCTTTGAACATGTTTGAACTGATGTCAGATAAACTTACCCCGTCTGATCATATGCAGATGTATCTGTCGGTGAATGTGGATCGGTCTTTCTGTCGTAGCTACTACCGGGTAAATCTCTGTTNTGTTCAAAGACTTTTCTTGATCAAAACCTGTTTTTCTGCGCTATTCTGAGTTAATTCTCGGTAAGATAAACATTTTATGTAACCTATGTCCTATTCTTTGCTCTAACCTTTGAACATGTTTGAACTGATGTCAGATAAACTTACCCCGTCTGATCATATGCAGATGTATCTGTCGGTGAATGTGGATCGGTCTTTCTGTCGTAGCTACTACCGGGTAAATCTCTGTTAAAATTAGGTGTGCCCTGTTGAATTGACATCTTTTATGTCGGAGCAAACATATCCAGACATTTTATAGATAGAGAGTAATTACTTTTTTGTTAGTTGTTATACATCAAGGAAGACGGTGAGGGTGATAGTAGTAATTGTTTGCGCTTTATCTAATTTTTATAAGTATTTGAAAAGCGATAAATATACAATGATTAAGTTAAAACAACAACAAACATCAAGCGGTGATAGGAGTAATAATCAAAATAATATTGAAAATGATATCAATGATAATCAACAACAACAACAACCACCAGCAGGAAATAGTAATGATAAACAAAATGACAAAACAATTATTTCAAATGATCAGGAAAATAATAATGATAATGACAGTGATATTGAAATAAAACTTCCTCGCTTATTGACACGTAAAAGTAGAAAAAGACCAAGAGCTGTTCCTGTTCAAACACGGTTCTCGCATCCTAAACGAAGGAAAACTTTTTTTCTATTTTTGTTAGATGTTTTCGGAAAAGATACGTTCAGTACAATTAGTTTTCCACAGCTCTAAACTTCATGAAACTTTGTCAAACTATTCTTCTAAATACCATACATGTATACGGCTACCACAAAATAACGTAAACGATTCTGGACCGTGTTAAAGGTTTGTCAAAAAAGAATTTATCAACACCTTTATTAAAAAGTAATGACACATTTGGAATCAGCGCACCAAACGGCATCGAACGACGTACAACTTGTTAGGTTTTCAAATAATTTCGTTTTGAGGAAAATTTCAAGGATTTCCCATCAAAAAATTTTTGTTCGCACTTTCCTTTTTTCTGAGCAGCAGGAACTGATATTTCTATGGAAAAAATGTGATTTTGACAGAAACTAAGTTATGTCCATGTACTTTATATAAATTGCCCACTGTGCCCCTTTCATGAGTGCGCCAATCAGAGTCCCTGTTCCGTATCCATGCAATCATCGAGGATAATATTTTAAGGAAAATGAGGAGCAAAAGGGTGTGGTCCTTCTTCCCTGTTGACATTGTAGCTGCTAACGAAAGAATACGCCTCAGTGGCTTCTCTGACGTTGCGAACATTTCGAATCATTTGTACTTTGTTGACACATTCTTCGCTGTGGTGGAAGATGACGATAACTCCTAGTGTGTCAGTTTTATGAAATTCCAAGCTTCGCTCAGGTTTCAGATTTCTTACAAGTATCCCTAGAATGTCTGCCCCATTCAGAAGCTTACCTACTTCGGCTACCATCCGGCCAACACCATTCAAGGTGTCAATTTCTCAATCGACGCTCGACAAACTCAAGACTCTTGTCAAACTGTCCAAAGTCGCTCCACCGACCTACGAGGGATCTCAAGTGGATCGAAAATATGGTATAACAACCAAGTGGCCTCGTAAAGCGAAGGAGAAACGGGAAAAAGACTTTGACTGCTAAGTATCCGATTGGGATTCTCGTTCACGCTTACATCCTCGTTCTGTTCGTTTAGGTGCAAGCATGAGGCGTACATGAATTCTTTCCCGCACTACACGGCGCCCGTCGTTGACGATGATCGCAAGGAATACAAGATCCACTTTGTTGCTCTCTTCTCTGACAAAACTGATGCTGTGCCGCTCGTCCTGCTTCATGGATGGCCAGGTACCGTTGATCTCTATAGTATGCCCCTAAAATTTGTGCCGACAGCGTACCTTCGTGTAGTGAATGGGGATTTTCGCTGTCAATTCTCTCGCTCCTCACTACTCAGCTGAAGAGTCGTTGTCTGAGGAAGTCAGGATATGTAACAATAGTAAAATATACTCACGATAAGAAAGGAAGAAAGAGAATAATCGTTTCGCTTTAGTCATTTCTTTTCTCCGTTCTATTATCTGTCTGCGGTGATTATATTAAGTGGTAATCTCAGTTAACATATTGTGTAGAAGAAGACTAGACGATGTGAAACTTCGTAGTTGTACAAGATTTTTAANTATCTGTCTGCGGTGATTATATTAAGTGGTAATCTCAGTTAACATATTGTGTAGAAGAAGACTAGACGATGTGAAACTTCGTAGTTGTACAAGATTTTTAAACCGCAAGTAAAGGTTAGGTAATATAAATATGTGACGAGCGGGAGAGCGGAAGTCTTTGCAACTTCCTTCCTTTTCTTTTAACTACCACAGTTAGTTTGATTAAGGCATCAGAGTGTCAGCTAAGCTTGTATTGTTTTCTCCATTTTTGCGTTCAATATTGTTCAAAAAAGAAGGAAGGATCTAACTGATTCTCTCGTGATAGCAAAGTTTTGTGGACAGCAGCGCAGTTCGATAGCATTATTTTACACTCAACTACTCTTTTTATCTATTTGTCTTTCAATCAATTCTTGTCGTTGATGTGATAGCCGCTCTTGTCTACGTGGTTTGCATTTTGGTTAACATTTCTCGAGGAGGCTTCTACCAAATATATAGATCTTCATGGATTATTTCAGCTGGTTAACAGTAATCGTATTATTACCGCTCCAATTGGCATCCGGTTGGTTTATTAGAGTACTTTTCGAAACCTGAAACCGATATGAGAGAGTCAGACCATATGCCTTCAGAGAAGGAATAAATAAACAATTTTTGAGCAAGTACTTAAAACGGCCAGCTCTTCTAATAATTATTAAGAAAATTGCCAACCTTTTATCAAATATGAAATATGTCGAGAAAAGGCATTAACCAAATCTTCAACCACTTAAAATTCGACAAAAAAGCTATTCAAATATTGTTATCGGAGTTGCTAGTCTAAATATTTCTCTACTGAAAAGATACAGTTCGTATAGAAATGGAACGATTGGAGCACAGAACACAACTATCGTCAGAGAAATATGGTCCATTTTTATTAGCCAAATGGGACCATTGGAGTGCTTCTGCTTATTCTCTCGATCGGTTGTCTCTGCATATGTCCCTTTCTACTCGTCAAAATTCTTCAGTCAATACTTAAAGGAACCATGCGCAACATCATTTACAAAATGATTAATGCCAGCTTTCCTCGTATCTTCCATCATTTTACACCCTACTTGCCCATTGGGGCAAAGGAATGTTTTAGAGCTTAGTAATCATTTATTTGTTTCTTTTGTCGATAGGTCGGTTGCATCTTGACCATTCTCGTTCAGAGCAGTTCTATGTTCACATCTACTCTTACTCCACTCGTTGGTCTCAGTATTATAACAGTTGAACGAATGTGTCTATTTACACTAGGCTCAAATATTGGCACAACCATAACTGGTATTATGGCCGCCAAAGGAATCGAAGTTGATTATAGACAAAATGCATTTAGATTTTTCCCATAGGTGATACTGGCTTGGGGAAGCGAACAAGGAATCTATGCTCATTTTCTGATCAAAACCACATGACCGTTATCTTACAGAAAAATTTCGTGATATAATTTGACAGTAAAAGGGTGTTCGCCAAATATAATTAAGTTAATATTAAGTTGGAAAAATCTTTGTTTATAGGTTTTCATTACTCACAAAAGATTATTTATTAATACTCAATAATCATCTATCAAATGGAATTATTAATTAATTATAGCTAATTCATCAAGCTATATTATTAGTACTACAAAGAGAGCGTCGTGTTTATGTGTGATAAATGCCCAAAATCGTTTCTTACATAATGTGGATTAAATATTCATAATGGGCAGATGCATGAACACTTAGCACAATTGCAGCAGCCGATTGAAATGAATATACTTTACAATTTGTCTTATCAACAAAGAGTCATGCTGAAGTAAACACAATGAGTTGGTTTATCACAAATTGAAAGTCTTTTGAAGCTTCATGAACTCCTGAGATGTTTGGCATATTACAATGCTAGACTTATTTTGGTGATGAATTTCACTGCCTTGTAAAAATAATTGTAGTAGGAGCAACATGCACGCTAAAAGTTACCAGTAGATGATTATGAGTGCACAATAAACATTGTTTCTCGTATAATAAGAACAAAAACAAATGTTTTTTATGTTTGTTATGTGCTATGCTGTTACGGTTTATCTTGAGTAAACATGTTTGATTTCTTATTCTTCATTGTAGCGTATTATATTAAAAACGAAGCGTCGTAAAAAAGAATGACACACGATTTTGCTATGGATTATATTGATGATGAAAAACTTTTTTTGGTGATGAAAACAATGATAAATTACGTGAAACTGATTGTTTGCAAATCCTTCTTGACTATTGTCTACTACGATTCATCGATCAGACTATTAACTCTTTTCATTTTAACACCATTCATTTGCGAGAGGTATTTGTGGATGCATTGAAGTGGTCATCAGGTGATATTTTCGCAGCAAAACTGAGTGATAGTCGATTAACCGGTCTCGTAGAACAGTATTTCGTTTGTTCAGATAATGATGGTACGTCATTCATCTCTATTTAGCATATTTAGCATAATAAAATTACTGTTGATTTTAGAGATATCATTGGAATCGGGTGATGTGGACATTATGTTTGAACCAAAAGGTATGTTTACTTCCTATTGGAACACGGAGTTACCATTTCAAATTGATATTGCTGAACCATCGTCCTACTCGGATTTTTACCATATTCAGTACTACGAGAAAACTCATTTTCCACTGGAGACGAACGTTTTTGAGGTGATGAATGACAAACGATATATATTGAGTAAATTAGTTTCCGATTTGATTCTTGTCGAGTTCACAAAGTATAATAAGAATGGCCCTCTTGTGGCTGAACAACATGGTCCAACAGTCTCTCCAACGTTCACAAATGAATTAAGTGGCTATGATTTTGTTTTCGCATGGCAAATGCCTCAAATGCCATACAGTATTCGACAAGAATGGCTTGAATGTCCGGAACAATGGCCATTACCAGATGTTGTTCTATTTATTTCACGATCACCGTGTCATCTAGTACCAAAACGTCAAAACACTCTTACATGGGGTATATCGCTAAGTTTTTGCGAGATGTATCTCACAAATTCATTCAATAAAAAACCGAAAAATTGTTACATGCTACTAAACTCATTCGTACAAGAGTTATCACCTGGCATCCTGTCATCTCATCGTATTAAAACATTTTTCTTCGCGTATCTAGAGAAGAATGCATCGACACTATATATGATCGCTGAAGCACAATTACTCCTGGACTTGAGCCATTCCTTACACACTACTTTATCAAGCACAAATGTATGCCAAACTACTTTTTATCGAACATTAATATGTTAGAACCTATATCTAGGGAAAAATGTAATTATTTAGCTGCCCAACTAGATATATTTCATGTAAAGCCTTGTATAACGACTACAAATATGAAAAAAAATTGCAAACAGCTAGCAAATTGATTTCAAGTGAGCATACCTGACGACTGGATCGACGACGATAAGTATTCGAACGCAAAAATATGTGCGTGGTATTTGAAATCATTCTTTTATGTGTCGCTAAATATCCAAGATTCATCGCGACTGAAACATTCAGAAAACGTTGTTCATTTATCCCAAAAGTATTTTCCAACTACTAGGCAATAGTGTACAAGTATTGAAGAACTTCTATCCACCTGGCCAGAGTAACTTTACCATGGTCACTAGTCAAACAACTATCACAATGTTTTCAATACGAAACAGAGAACGAACATAATGAGATGGTCAGACAAAGCTGAATAGGAGAAAAAGTTTTAGAATCAATAACAGTCGTCTTCAGTATATGGTCTGGTCTTAATCAGATCGTAGAAGAATCAGTTGATATAGA